TGATGAGGGAGACAGTGCTAAATGGACTCCTGCTAGCCCTTCTGTATGCACTTAGTTTAAATATATAAATCTATTTTAAAGCAATTACCTGTTCTTTCCATCATTAGCACAATTTTCAATCTTACACAACATCTAAGCTGGATTTTTATAGTTGGTGTTTTCTTTGTAGACAGTCTTAAGTTTTGTTTTGCTTGTTGTTCTACTAGTGCACTGGTAGAGAGGGTTATTAGAGATGTTTGAGTTTTCAAGCAATTATGAAAATACTGTTTTCTTAAGTAGCTACCGTGGCTAAACCTGGTGGCCTCTCTCTAAAGAAAGTGGTTAACGTGCCCAGTTTCACTGCAACATGAATTAAATCCATGCCACAAGGATAGCAAAGCACTGAGAAACAGTTACTCAAAGTGGGCTCCTGACTGCATCCTAATTTCTATTTTTTTCATCTTTCAGAGTCTGATTTGTCAAATTTGGCCAAGCTCTACAGAGATGAGCGGTTAAAACAGAAAGCAGAGTCACTGAAACTTGAGCACTGTGAGAAGCTCTCCAGTCTGATTGGGATGCACAAAGGGGGCTGACCAGGACACACACATCCTGGAGCTTTATTTATTGCTGTTTTAACTTATGTTTTTATTTTCCTTTGTACAAAAAGGGAAGGAGACCATTGTCAAGAGAAACATGGGATTTCTTCTGCCTGTAGTGCAGAGATGGGCCAACACAGGCTGCAGAGCTCGTGTTTGCTGTAATATACTGTACACTATACTTGGTTCCAAGGACCAGTGGCACTTTGTAAATTAATTCCCTGGGAAACACCATTAGTTGGAAACCTGTCTTCATGGGTAGCTTGTCTGCCATCCAAACAGTATGGACTTCCCAGGAGAGCAGACCAATGTCTTGGCTTTCTGTGTTCCACATGGACCTGCGATCGGGTGGCTGGTGGGGACAGTGCGGCCCTGGGTGTGAGGTGCTCTGACCTTCTGGGGCTGAGGCTGGGCAGGTGTTCTCCCTGCTGCAGCACTTGGGAGTTGAGAGGGAAGAGTTAACACACAGCACTTGATCCAGATGAGTCAAGGACCTGCTGGAGGTGGGTGGGCAGGCTCCCAGGCCTCCCTGCTGTCCCTGTCCTCACCTGGCTGGGGGGCTGTGCTGTTCCTGTCCCCTGGTGGGACAACATACTGAGATGCCCACAGCAACAATGAACAAGAAGATGAGAGTCTGTGAATTGCACCAATTCCAATGTCTGCCAAACTGTAGGGGCAGAACAACCATATTTATTTTTCCATATGTTTTCAGTGGCATCTTTTCAAGCTGGCTGTTGAATTCTGATTTTTATCTGCAAACTCTTCTCCAGCTGTGACAGGGGTCCTGCTTTTTCTGGTACCGTTTTGGTGTAGCATATTTTTACTCTGTTGAGCAGTTATGAATGTTTCACTCTATAGATTAGCATTGCAAAGAAACAGATCCATGTGGTAGTGTCCTGTTCTTTCTTGATCCTCCTTTATGAAACCAAGCATTTAAAAGCAGGTTGAGGATGGGTCGTACTCCTCACAGCAGCAGAGAACAGGGTGTTCCTCCAGTTGAGCATCATTAACCTCCTGAGACAGTTTCTCTGGTGGGGTGCCATGAGTGTGTCCCACACATGGAACACACTGTTTGTACAAAGGACATCTCCAGGCAGCACAGGCACTGGAGGTGCAGGGTGATGTGGGGACTCCCTGCTCACCTCTCTGACCTGGAGGCACATGTCTCTTCAAACTGAACCACTCTCTGTTCTTTCCCCCTTCCCAAAACTGGCTGCAAGCAGCACAGGATGCCACAGATGGCCTTGGCTTAAACCTAGGAAGCAAAGTGCTCAAAAGTTTGAGAAATGCCAGAATGAAAAATGCATTGAAAGCTCAGGCTTCGGATCTCCAGGTGCCTGGGAGTCAACAGGGCAGTCACACCTGGTGCTTTGTCCCCTGGGCACCCTGAACCAGACAGCTGGTACTGAGAGCAGGAGGTGAGACCACAGGTACCAGAAGGTGTCCCCTTGAAGTCCCCATCCATTAGAGGGAGGTTGGCAGCAAACAAAGGTGGGAGCTGCAGGGAAGAGCAGCTTTTCAGGGGGTCTGCACCAGAGGGAGGATGTTTATCTTGGGTTTTGAGGCTTGGTGCTTCTGCAGATGAGACTTACATGTCTCCTGTGTGATCAGACCGTTGAGCTACGGCAATATTGGTGCTATGGAAGGGGGGTGAGCTAAAAAAAAAAGGATTAAAAAGCAACAGAGTGACTCCTTAAAATCACCATTTTGTGTTAACATTTGTTCCCCATTGGGCAGCTTGGTAGGAGCTCTTGGGGAAGCTGAGCAGAGTCCATCAGGGGTGGGAAGAGTGCCAGTGGTGAAACACGTTCAGTGCCAGAATGTAAGGGCAAAATGACTTGATTTGGTTACTCTGGATTGGAAATAAATCTGACAGTAGGACAGGCAGCCTTAATTCTGGTATTTCCCAGTTTTGAGCACATAATAGGAGTGTGTGTGAAAAGCAAAATTATTTTAATGTTGCTTTTTATACACTGAATTGTGAAATATGCTAAAGTGGTGGACTTTGTTCCAGGTTTGGTTATCTTCTCTGTCATTCCTGTTGGACTCCCATGGCTATGAAGTGACGCCATAGGTGGGGAGGCCAAACATGACTGTGATGTCCTGCGTGGAGCTTCAATTCATACATTTTATTTTGCACTTAAAATAGATCGCACCTTTCATCCAAAGAGCTCAAAATGTGTTCTGGAGGTGGGAGACCACCCCTGAGAAGCACAGGAATTTTTTAAAAGTCTTCTCTGCAACTGGGAAGGGGGCAAGGATGAAGGGGGGAGGATCAAACTGGAAGGTAAAAACAATTCAAAAAGCAATAAGGTGTTCCTTGTTCACAGTCAAGGGTGTTACAGGTGATGATTTGCACGCTGGGGCTGGGGGGGCTCTGAGGGCATTTGGTGCTAAAATGTCTTGAGTGATAAACACAAGCCCCTCTTTTGGTGAGGTGATGGCACCCGGCGGGGTGGGGGGGAGGAGAATTGTTCCCTGGTGGCTGCTGGAACGCGTCGCTGTCAGGAACCAAATGTTACTGACCCAAATGGGATTGATTTGGGATTGTTTGCTGGGTCTGTGAGGGGAGCAGGTGATGCTGGAGCAGGGGTGCAGCACCAGGGCTGTGCCCTCCTTTCCGGGGGGCTCTGTGGACCTACAGATGGCTTAAGACAGATACATAAATACGTATTGAATTATTGTGTGTTATTTTAATGTAAGACTCACACGTCTGTGCCCGTCTGTCCCGTGGGAAAAGCCTGACGGGAACCAAGACACAGCGGTGACCTCTTGACAGTTTGTTCTGCGGGAAATGGCCGCGCGGCTGGGCCGGGTGGCACGGACCGGACCGGAGCGGGTCCTGGGG